AACCAGCCACTATAGGGGCTATTTGTCTTTAGTCCATAGCTTAGTTTATGGAGAAAAACATCAGTCACATCAATGTTCACACAATTGCACTGATCCAAGGAGGTTGGAGTTCGGGTTTTGCTGAAAGTGCATTGCTGAATCGGCTTCACACACATTGATGCACCATCTTTAGTAGGAGGCCGATTTAGGTTTGATATTTGGCATGAACTACCACTCTGGAAGTTGCTTTTGTGGACTGCATATCAGGTATGATTAGCATTTATTTTGGGTTTTAAATCTGTTCCGTTTCAGTACAAGATCGATATGGAAATTCAAAATTCAAATTATCAGGAAATTAGTTCCCAGGTTGGGCTAGAATTGCTTTTATAATTTGGCCAACCACTAAATCTGGTTTGACCATGTTAAATATGATTTCTAACCTTCCAAATTTTTTCTAATAACTATGGGCTTATGAAGAAACAAAAATTACCTCTCACAAAATTACAAGAGAGGAACTGAATAATATTTATCTAATTCAACAAGAAAGCAAGAATTCTTTTGCTACAAAAAAAGAGAAAGCAATTAGCAAATATAAATGAAGTATGGATTTTCTAATAAATTAAATGAGCAAAACAAAGATCTACTACAAAAAAAGGGAATATGAAAAATTAAACTAATGAATCCTGGATAGTCAACCATGTAAATGAGTGTTGTGGAATTTTTGGGATAAAAAAAACTATAAGAAAGATTCTTTTTAATTGATTTATGCATATACTATTTTCCTATAACGTATGATATATGATGTTTGTTCTTGAAACAACAAAGGTGAAACTATTTTGACCCAATTATGCAAAACATAGGGCTAGCATGTCAACAACTTTATTTCTGTCAAAATGACTTTAGTGTTCTAGGGGGATACTAAATCGACTATTGGGACCTACTCCTATCAAATCAATGATGTTACCTTGGGAGCCGAGATTGAGTGATCAATGAAGGGGTAAACAATGTCAAATTTGGGTGATCTTAATGTTGTCAGATTTGGAATTTTGGGCTATACATAATTATGGTGTTGGATTTTTTACTTAATATGATATAAGGTTTAAGATCAAAATAACCCTGATCAGATGATTGGAATCGATTTCGACGTTGAGTCTTAAGATGAAGGAGTAGGTACCTAGGGTGTTGGATTTCTGATTTGATGTGAGGTGAGGTTCAGATCAAAATGATCTCGATTGAACGATTGGGATCAGTTATGGCTTTGGGTCCTAAGGTGAAGGGGTAAACGGTATCGGATTTGGGTGATTTTTGTGTCATTAGAATTGAAATTTTTGGTTCTATGTACCCCTAGGTCAGATGTAAGGTTAACTGAAGCATACTTGAAACTCAAAATGTTGCGTAAAGATTGAAGGGTGCAAAAATGAGGAGTCTACACTTTGCAAATTATGTCTTATATTCTCATCCTTAGGCTAATACAGGTCTTGTAGCAATTTAATGGTTCTGTTTGAGCATCACCTAAGTATCTTTTATATGTAATATGAAACTATTTGTTAAAATGAAAAATGCGGCCCTTCAAATGCAATAGTTTGTTGGGGAAGATAATAATGACTTGTTAGACTAAATCTTCTAGACCAACCATCTGGATAAATTGAGTTGCTACATTTGTGTGGGCCTAAATCTTTTAGATAAATTGAGTTTTTTAATCATAAATAAACCTAGTGTAGTTTCACAAATAATGACCTAGCATAAATGCTTCAAGACTAACCACCTGGATAGTAGATATGAAACTACATATCTAGTCTAGGCCTTCCAATAAAAGTAGCGATCCACTTAAGTTTGATTTCAATATAAATCTATGTTTTTGGTGGCAGGTATTCCACCCTATCAAATAGTGTTCTTTATTAATTCAAATTAAAAGTTAGCTAGCATCCATAATCATAAAACCAATAAACCTAATTTTTCTAACTTTTTTTTTTAATTTTTGAAAAAGGTGAAGTAATTTTATTAGAGAAATCAACTAAATACAAAATGGGAAGTTCAATCTTCTGAACCCCAAACCTCAGAACAACTAACAGTCACATACACCACAAAGATACAAATTGCAAGACATTACAAGTAGGCTATGAAAGGCTCCTAGGCAACCACAATCTCCCCACAGTAGCACCAATCAATTCATCAATCTTTAAATGAAACCACCCTGAGAAATTCTTTTATTTCTTTTCAACCAAACTCTCCATATATAGTACCACAGTTGGATCAGGCTCCAAACTAGTATACCATCTGCACTTAAACCCTGTGGGTACCATATATAGTAGCTCTCAGCTCTTGCAGATTTTTATGAATACCTAGGATATGTTCAAGGCTGTTATGAAATGAAGCCAGATATCATATGTCCTTGTGTAGTGGATGAATAGCTGATCTAGGTTTTTGTTAGAGTGGTTACATAGTGGGCAGGCATGGTCTTGAATTTGCACTCTTCTAATCACACAATCTTTAGCTAGGCCCTTCCTAAGGGAAATAACCCAGAGCAAGAAGCAATTTTTTGAGGGGATTGCATTTATATAGATTTGTCTATACTATGAAAGAGACCTTGGGCAGTTGTAAGGAGGCTCTTACCTATTGAAATCAATAAAACTTCCTCTCTTTTCCCACTTCTATATCCATTCATCATCCTTCCCCCTTCTAATACTTTGATTGTTAAGAACATGAAGAAACTCCAAAATAGTACCCACCTCCACATCTTGAGGAATTCTCCTTAGGCTAGGGATCCACACTATCACATCATTTTGTTGCTCATAAGAATTAGCAACCAGGGCATCTTTGTTAGTTGCAATTTGGAATTCTCTTAGCAGATGAGACATTTTTTCGTTTTATTTAAATTGCTTTGTATCCAACTTAGCACTTTTATATGGGCATTCTACCAATTTTAGAGTAGTACAACTAAACTATACCAATTTGCTTAAAGAAGGTAAAAGGGTGTAAAGGAAGAATTATACCAGTTTCCTATTTAGAGAGCCATAGAATGGATCTATTGTGGATCACGACAAAATGAGAAGTAATATAATTGATGTAGGGCTTTCAACCATAGCCTTTACCATAGTCTCTTCATAAGAGTTAACTTCCTCTAATTCTCTTAATCTTTGTGAGGAATAACAAAGCATCATCTCTCTCTTTGGATTGCTTTGAATTCCATAATAGATTTTGAATAGGAACTCTATAGTGGATTTGGATGTAGAGTTTGCTTTCTAATGGATCTTCTTTTTGCAGTTTTCTTTTTTCTGTACTTAATTAATAGTTCTTTTTCTTTTAGAACTCTAGACAGGACTAGGAAGCAGATTAATCCATTTTCCAAACAAAGGGAGAGTGTGTCTAGAGTAGAAAGAACCAAAGGCAACTCTTACAGAGTAGAGACTCAAGGGCAATGTTTTCTACCCATTGTTGGCTTGAACGATTCAACTGTTCGAACCATCATGAAGCCATGATTCCAAAGTTGGTTACCCTAAAACCTAGAGTTTGGTAATAAATCATCTGACCTAGGTGATTGAACTGTTGACCAATTTAACTCGGTCATTGGGTCATGGGTTGTACATTAATTGTGTATGCAACATTTAGAAATCTATGGCCAAGGGTCCAAAAGTTCCTTGCCCTTCTATTTTAGCAAAAAAAAAAAAAAACCCTTTTTTGGTCTCAAATCCCAATTTTTACATTTTTATAAATAAAATATTAAAAACTGAAATAAAATATAAAAATATTTGAATGAACATGTGGGAATCAACTCAAATGTGTTTGATACGAAGTTCCAAGCTAATGGGTCACCACCAAATCATGTTGTGGTTTACATATTTTGTTTTTTTTTCCAAGCTACACTATGAAGGAGATAATATGTATCCAACAAATATAAATAAATTGATAAAGCAAACAAAGAGCAGAAGGTTTCTTATTTGAAAATTGATCCGTTTCTAGCAATTCCCTAAAAAAAACTATTAATTACACTATTCTTAACCATTTCCTAAAAGATCATGCATTTTGCTACAAGATTACTAGATTTATTCTATATATAAAAGTGGGAATGCAAAGTGGAAGATTTTTTGGACTAAACTTACCTCCTATTTCATTGTTTGAGAAAGGGCATAAAAGCCATTTTATTGTAGCTTTAATTCTAGCTCTTATGGCTACTAAAATGCCCATATTTGTCTATTAGTGCATCTCTAATTGTAAGGATTGAAAATGTAACTTCAATTATTACCTTTCACCTCATTTAATCCCCTCTCATTAAGTCTTATAACTTAAAGCATTAACTCCAATTTTCTCTTATTAAATCCTATATTAAGTTATTTTTCACTAATAAATGAAACTAATTAAATCTATGCCAATGTTTTTAACAATATAAACCTGTATATTTTAAAACTAAATAACAAAACCATTCTTTATCAAAGTGGTGGCTAAGAAATGCAACCGTATATCCAAATGAAATTTATCAACCTATATAGTCATAGTTAGGTAATAACATTTTTTAAATATAAATAAATATAAGAAATTATAAAATGTAGAAAAACTTAGACACATTTATGATATTTTTATTAATGAAATTTAAAAAGTGTAATAAATAAGAATTATTTTTGTTGATAATGAAAATTAAATACATAATTTACAATTGAGAAAAAATGAAATTATTTTACTGTTTGGAAAATATCAATAGTTTAACTTTTGGGTCAAATTTGTTAGCGTTTAATGTCATAAATAAATAAATATTAATAAAATAAAAAATACACAAATTTTGCAAAAGAACATTCAAGAACATGTAATAATATCATACAATTATCATATCAGAATTATTTTTACACAGAAATATAAAAAGAATTATAGAAAAAATTGAACACGTCTACAATTCTATATTTACACTATATTAAAAATATGAATAAAATTATGGGCATTCTTTTAAGTAAAATATTCAATTTTGAATTTAGTCCCTATTTAATTGTGAGGTTTAAATTGTAAATTGAACTACTACTTTTTCACTTCAGGTGACGCCTTAGCTAGCTGAAGTTGCCACGTGATTTTCCTTTGTGGCCAGTAACTTCAGACCACGTTGACATACGTCACCACAACCGCATCACGAAGAGGCCTCACAAGGAAGCAGAGTCCCATATGGATAAGGAGACACGGCTTGTTGGGAAGAGTGGGACCTTCCAAGAACCTCGATGGGCGACTTCTTCCCGACAACCCCACGGACCTCATCTGACTACAACACGAATGTTCATTCTATATAAAGACATCTCTCCCTTAAGATAAGCTCTCTATGATTTAGCACACATTACTTTCCTCAGTACTTTTCCGTGAAAAATTCGTATCAATTGACATGGTTATATTACATATGATTTTCAAGAAGTGACAAGAAGTCAACATGCCTGAAATTATTTAAGAAATAAATATTTGCACTATGGGCGAACCTCAACCACTAAGTATAAATTTATATTATCGTTACTCCAAAGCGTGAAAAAGATCAAGTTCATTTAGGCTGCCTTTAATTGCGGTTTAAATATCACACTGGGACCGGAGGAGTTCTGTACTCATTGATCTGCTATTTACACTGCAAGCAAATGCAGTCTTAATGGAGAATGAACAGCTATGTGTTTCTGGACGTCATTCAAAAGAGAAAAGCCGTAGAGAAATTAGGACAATATATGACAAGCAAAATTTCTATTGATTATGGATTGAAAGTTGGTTAGAACTGAAAATTTACAGTCTTCTTAGAGGGAAAGTATGAATATCATAGAACTTGAAGGACTCTTATTGGCTGTTTGATAACAGCTGAAGTGGCTTAATTGATTTTTTATTTTTTCTTTTGGTTAATAATAAGATTTTAAGGAGATTAGCTGAAGACAATAGCTGTTCAGCTTGTTCATGGGCCTGGCCCTGAACAACTAGACCTCTTCGTGGGCCTGGCCCTCATAAAAGCCTGAGGCCAGAGCCCAAGCCTGAAGCCCAACATGAATTAGGAATGGGGATGCCGGAGTGCCACTCTGGTTGCTAGAGAGAGAGAGAGAGAGAGAGAGAGAGTGTCCTGGAGTTGTTTGTGGTTGTTGGAGTGCCGCTGTAGATGCTACCGGAGCTGTTACGAGAAACCTGGAGTTGTTTGTGGTTGCTGGAGTGCTGCTGTAGATGTTGCCGGAGCTGTTGCGAGAAACCTAGAGTTGTTTGTGGTTGTCGGAGTGCCGTTGTAGATGCTACTGGAGTTGTTGCAGAATGGGGATTAAGGACACCGCCTTTGGTTTGAATACATAGAGATTAGGGAGAATCGAAGAGATAGAGAATGAGACATTGTTGGAGAGATGATACCGTCTTCCGCTCACTAGTCGCGAGTCCCCAGTCGCCACTTGTGGAAGGAGATAATCCAACAGGTACCGCCAACTCTGATGTGGAAGAGAAGAAACTTCCAAGTTCTTCTAGGTTCGAATAGGTTGAGGGAGGGAGACTATCGAAGGAGAAGAATTAGGGTTAGGATTTAGGAAGAAAATAATATGTATATTAATATATTTTTTATAATATATATTATTAATTATTATATATATATATATATAATATTATCGGGCCGGGCCAGGCTTTTATGTAAAATCCCGAGCCCGGCCTGAAATTGAGTCGGGCTTAGATAATAGGGCCCAGGCCCAGGCCCATGGGCCTAATAATATTGTCTAAGCCTAACCGTGGCCAGGCCGGGTTATTGGGCTACCTGGCCCATAAATAGGCAAACCATTCAATCGCTTAGTATGGGCCCATGTATTTTATCACTGGTGTGGGACATTGCCATTGACTCCACAGCTTGTTATAGAGCTAAAGTATTTGCTAATCTGAATTCCATTTTAAGTAGTTCCTTAATGGTTAAAGCTGAAGTTGTATATTTTATTATAATTTAGAATATTTTATTATTTAATTATTTTATTCACTAAAACACAAAGAAATAGGTCATTCAGTTGTTATCAAATGACCCGTTAGTCTAAAAGGCACAAAAATAGAATAAAAATGAAGAAAACTTCAAAAGAAATTCAGGAGGTCAAAGCCTCATGCACGAGTTCAAAGAGAGGAATGTTGAAGCAGATTTTCTTGAAAATCTTGATCGCAACTGCAACCAGAGCATTTCTTCGAGTGAAGAAATTCAAGGAGGGATATTAGACCTCATTTTTACAGAGGAAAGGAGGAAGCTTGCGACTTTTCTCTCGTTAGTTCTTAACAATTTAATTTAAGAAATTCTTGAAGAATTTTCCCTCATTTTTTTGTTTCTCTTATCTCAATCAAACCAAACATAGTACCTAATTTATTGGATAAATTGGTATAAAATCTTTTCTAAGCTATATGCAAGAAGGGGATCCGCCATTTTGAATGGATGGCTTTAACTAACCACTAAATATGCAGGTCTTTTTTCTGAAAGTGATAATTCAAAATTGTTTTCATGTTCTAGTTAGTTAATGGGGTTTTGGTTTAGACAATCTTCAACACGGAGCTTCTTCTGTTAGGCAAAGTATGCATGGGCTATGACAATGCCCATACTATCCAAAGTATGAAAGCAATAGTGGAGCTACTTAATGTGTTTTCTAGGCCTTTAAAAAAAAAAAAAAAAAAAAAAAACACAAAAGTGTTCTCTAGTCTATATGTTTGGTTTGAAAGAAATTTGTCAAACTAAACACAGCCTTATATCTATATTTCATCATTGTCTATAAGAATTGTCTAGTAAGAATCTGATTGGGAAATGGAGGTGAGAGGCCTATTTGGCCTTCTTAGACACTTTTATATAATTCATAAAAGTTTTAATCACATGGATTTGGAAGGAGTACAAACACAAATATGTACTATATAAATACATACAAAATAATACAAAATACAAAGTTTTGCGCTCTACATATTTGTATTTGTACTCCTTCCAAATGGAGCCTAAGGAAATTATTAGAGGTGTAAATTAGGTCGTGCTGCCTATAGCCCAACATGAATTTGGATTGGCCCGACACGATGGTCCATGGGCCGTGCCAGGCCCGACACGATCGTGTGGGCCGTGTTGGGTTTGGGTTTTTAGGTCCGTGGGCTAATCTGGCATGGGACCGAGCGGGCAATTCCGCCCGCGGCCCGCGTGCTAGCACGACTTAGACGGGCCATATATATTATTTATATATTATATATATTTATATATAATATAATATATTATATAAATTATAATAATATATAATATATTAATAAAATAAACAATTATTTTTAATTTTATTATACTAATTTATTTAAGGGCAAATTTCTTAAACTACCTTTACTTTTTAGCTAATTAACAAATTGTACCCTTTTTATTTACATATTGTTTTAGAGTACCCCTAGACAATTGTCAAGAATCTCCTTGCCATTGACGAAAAATGTCATTTTACCCATTATTCTCCTTCAAAATTTGAGCATGAAAGAGGAATAAGAGAGAGAGGGAGGGAGTGTGTACCAATGGCGCAACCATTGGGTGAAACAAGAGAGAGCAGAGGCAGGGAAACCGCTAATGTCGATCACATCCTGAGAGAATAAAATCTTTGTGTATAATCCCTTTTCAACCTCTGTTAAACTTCTTCTCCTTTATCAGCTCCTCCTTCTTGCGTTTGGCATCAGTCACTCTTTCTCTCTCTATCTCGCTAATGGAGGATCAGAACCTAAGAAGAAAATCTCTGTCTTCAACCTGTAAATCGAGCTCTGGCTCTTCAGCTACTGCTACGAAACAACACCTTCGAGTTTCATTTATACGAAAAGGCGGACCAACTATGGACTGGACGACCAGATTGAAAATTGCTCTAGGCTCTGTAACTCAAGTCCAAAACCAGAAGCTTGTCTGAAAACATGAGCATTGCAGATTCAAGAATCAAGGTAGAATAAGTTGAAGTTAGACTTAGGGTTAGGGATGATCTTCTTCAGCTGCTACTATGATGTTGAAGTCCAAAGCACAAGAAAACCCAGAAGGCTTCCATCTTATCTCTTGAAATTTGATTATTCGTGTTTGATGACATTCACCACTGGTGGAGGAAGTAGGCAGACACATGTATCCATCTAACGCAGGTTACATGCCAACAGAACCACCCAAATTCTCATCATCTTCGATGGCCACGGTAGCATCGTCGGCTCCTCGGTTCAGTCAACCTTTGGTCCATCGACCTCTGCAACTATTGTGACGATGTCCATCGTCTCTAACGACAAGAACGTCTTCATCTTTCCCCCCATCCTTTGCAATCAGTGGCACCAAGTGGGTTTGTAAGAGTTGTGTTCAAGGCCGATCGTGATGATTCTTTCCGTTTGCAGTCGGACTCCCTCGTGAATTTCAAGCAATCGCAGCAGGTGCCGGAAACTCATGAAGGTTCTTCCATTTGAGGGGAGAATCCATTGTATCATGAGGAGACTGAGTCTGAGGGGAGAAATGTGAAACACTGTTAGTCGTTGGATTTTAATCTCACTAGAGATTAAATCCAATGGGGTTTGATTGATTAATTACATGGAAAACACACTTTTACACACGTCTTGGAAAATAGTTTTTTCTCTTACTAAAACTAGTTTTTAACTTGTCCCATATTGGAAAATTATAAGACTTGTTTTGGGTATTTAAATAGAAGCTTACTTACACTCTTTAGATTTAAAAAAAAGAGTATGGATGCTTGCTACCACTGTGTGTGGCGCAATGAGGCGCTTTAGATGTGCATTTTGCTCGTGAACAGTAGTTTTGACTTTTGGTGCGAGGCTGACTATTGATATTTTCAACGGCCACGATTCAATCAGGTGTGATCAAGATGCACTATTTAAAATTAACAGTCATTAACTGTTAACTACCTTTTAACAGTCACAATTTTTGAAATTGTAACCTTTCAAGGAGCCTTTTTTGAACCAGCACATTCCTTTGTTCCATGACTCTTTAGAAATTATTTAAGGAGCGTGAATCAATCAATTGCACACACAATTTTCGAAAATCACTCGTTTCTCTCAGTCCGATCTGCTACTATCTCATAGAAGGTTTCTTCGGAGACTCTTCAACTTTGTTGGTTGCAGATTCTCGCCCAATTCTTTGTGATATCCTGGGAACCGATTTTCCTGTAACCCAACAGCAAACTCAATGGAATTGAGTGGGGGCAAATAACGTTCTAAAGACAATGTCTTTAGACGCGCGTTAGAGCTTTTCCTCCAAGTTTCAGGGACCCCAATTTCCAACAGTTAGCAAAGACAATGTGGCTTTGGTTGTGAGGTGGTGACAAGTCCATGCAATCTAAATAGAACAAATTTTCTTCTCTAGAAGTGTCCTTTTTGTAGAGCTAGTCAAGCATAGGGGATCTGAAGTAACAACAAAAATTGCT